CCTTATCAGAAAAAGATTTGAATATAGCATCAAATTTCTCAACAATGTGTTTATCTTTTAAGACAAATGTAATGTGCTTTGAGAAATTAGATTTATTGACAGAGTATGGGATTTTCTTCTGGATCCTCTTAAACAAACTTTGGACTGGACGTTTGCGGAGGAGTTCTTCTTCCTTGTCACTTTGCAAATCTGCTTCTTGAATCAGTCTTGATAGTGGTGCTGTATTTGATGAAGTGTCATGTTACGTTAAGTCCTATCTTAATCCTCCCACATTCTCCAATTCGCAAAGTGACAAGACAACCATCCTAGAGATGGTTAGAGAAATTCGTAAAATTTCAGAATAAAGTAAATCCCATATAAAAACCTTTTACCTGTAGTTGAGTTTCCATTATCTGTACCTGGAATCGGTAATTTGATAGATAAGTTTCTCTCTTGCCAGAAAGTGGTAGATAAAGAATATATCTCTCTCAAAGTGTCAACTCTTAAGACAGCATTGTTGCTTAAAGTAAATTTCAAAGACTCCTGTTCTGATTTTTAAGACAAACTGTTTCAGATAAAGGATATTTCAAAGAAAAATATCCCTTCGAAGTAACTTCAACTAACAGACCGTCTATATCTCAATTATGTCTAGTAAGCATATGTCTGTTGCTCAGTTTTGGTCTGTAAATATGTTTCATGTGTTTATATAGTTTGTCCTAATGCTTTTTTTTGGATTGATTTGTCCTATGTTAATGACGCAGTTAAGAACTGCTGTTTATGACAATATGTTGTCCCGGCATGGCCCAATCTGAGAGTCGCGGGTTCGAATCCCCGTCACACCAAACAGCCTTCATTATAATGTGACGGTCAATTCCACTTTTCGTTGGTGAAAGAGTAACACAAGAGTTGGCGGTGGGTGGCGATGACTAACTGCCTTCCCTCTTGTCTTACACTGCTAAATTAAGGACGGCTACCCTCGTGTAGCTTTGCGCGAAATTCAAAACAAACCAATGACAATATTTTACTAGTTTTGAGGGTTAGGGGTTCTTTTTACAAAAAAAGTGTAAGAGTTGTGAATTATGACATGTCCTGACTTTAGATTTCAGGAAGTTGATAACTTTAATTAAGCATAAACGTCCTTTAAGATTTGTTCAGTTTCCACATATTTTCGAAGAACAAACATGATTAAGGCTGAAGATAAGGAATTAGGAAAATATGCGAGCCAATTGGAAGGTGGTAATTTATTCTGTTCTATCTTCAACAAGGTTTTAAGCTACGTTAAAAATATCACATAATCGACTGCATTAAGGACTTCGTCATTTAAAAGCTCTGGAAGACTAAAAACCGGGGTTTACGTTTGAAAGAGGGGACACGATGGCAACAAAGCTATAATTAACAGTGAGTGTTGTGCTTGCACGGCAAAATTAAAAATAAAAATTACCGAGATAAGAGAATACACATTTAAATAACTTTTATCATTAGTGTTTTTGTTAAAATGGTTAATGTTTGTTATATAATATAGTAATACATCTCGAATTCCCCAAATTTGAAGTTATGGCAATTGAAATAATTTGTTTCTATTTCCTGAAAACACTAGCACTAGTTATGATGCATCAAATCAGGGGTAACAGCCTAAGTCATAAATAGCATGGAATTTACAATTCTACTCTAGGGTCGAAGTTGTCCGAGAAAAAAATAAAAAATGTGATATATGGATATACTGGTGATTATCGTGAAATTTAAAACTCATTATTTATCCATGATTATTTATGAGTATACTATAAAACTGATAATCAATACCATTATTTGGTTCAAACGGTTGGGCAAAATCCTTGTTGCTGCTTGAAGGGACAACCACTGGAAATACTTGGATAGTTGTCAACAGACGACAGGCACAACTATAGAGCACTGGTATACGCTCTAGAACTCAGGTATGGAACACAAAATCAGTCCAAAGTCTACAGGGCTATGTTTAGGACGAGAGTCCGTGCTAAAGGGGAGAGCCTGCAAGAGCTGGCACAGGATTTGGAAAGTATGGCACACAGGGCCTACCCAACTGCATCACCCGATGTCCTCAAGTTGTTGCTGAGGGATCAGTTTATAGATGACTTGGATAGTCCACAACTGAAGATACAAATAAAGCAAGCACACCCCTTCTACATGCAGGACGCAATGGCCAGAGCTCTTGAATTCGAATCTTATGTTAATTCTAGCACAGAGGTACCATGGTTGGTACAGTCATCAAGATTCAAGGCCAGAAAAGGGCAGCTCTCAGAGAAGTTTGAGGACTTTGCTGGCACTGTAATAAACCTGGGCACAAGAGAGCTCATTACTGGCAACTTCAACACAGGGAAGACGCCACGGCAGGAAAGACTGCTATCCAGAAAGGTTGTTGGAACTGTGAAGGGGAAGGACATACAAGGAGCCAGTATAAGAAGAATACTACCAATAAGTCGGCATCGGGGAAACCAGTAGTGGTTCGTGTTGAGGGATGCCTACCAACTCCCACCGTGAAAGTCCCAACAGCTAGGTGTAAAATGCCAAGCACACATAGTGTCTACGTGACAGGAAAGCTGGATGGCCAAAAGTGCAACTTTGTCATAGATTCTGCATCTCAGCAAACCCTTGTGAGTATCAAGGTGCTAGATCACAAAGGAGTACCAGAAGTCATACAGAAGCTTTGTGGTGTGACAGGACATTATGCAAGGTTGTGGGGACCAGTGTGGGTAACGATTGAGCCTCATGGGCTTAAAGGACAGACACAAAGTATACTTGGCTGACATTGAAGACCAATGCATATTAGGGTTGGACTATTTACTACCGAGGAAGTGTGTAATTAATTTTGATAAAATGACGATTGGGAACAACAAAGGCCAAATTCCAGTAAGTGTCAAAAGAGAGGTTGAACTAACAATGGGGCCATCAAGCTAAATTCAAAGTGACTGAAGGAGTTGATGATGGTGAAGTGAAACCAGGCATAGATATTAAAGCAGAGCAGGAGAAAGACCAAGATTTGAAGCCAATAATTGATTTTCTAAAAACAAGTGTTTTACGCCCTGCTTGGGAGAAGGTGTATAGTCTAAGCCCTGTGACAAAGAACTATTGGGCACAATGGGACCAGTTGAAGCTTGAAGATGGTATTCTTCTCCAGAGATAGGAAAGTGACGACCTGGCAAACAGTTATACCAAGAAAGTTACGGGAAGTTGTGTTGCGTCAATCCCATGATAGTTTAACAGAAAGACATCTCGGAGTTAAGAAGACATTGAGTCACCTACGACAGAGATTTTACTGGATAGGTACGAGGCAAGATGTGGAAGAATGGTGCCGGACCTGAAGTAC